GTGACATTGAAAAATTAAACTTGTATATAAGTTGCGTGAATTCCAAAGAAAGACTTCCACTCCATAGACCATGCATTCCGCGTTAATCATTGCTGAATTCTATCCATAAAAGAGACTTCGATGTTTGGTTGCAACTTGGAGAGCCGTATTAAACATCTGAGACAGATAGATTGTAATAGAAACCGATATTAATCGCAAACATGTTTATTTTCAATTGTACTTCTGCAATGAAGAACTTAATCCAATTTATGAACATTGAATTAAATTTTACTTTAATTAAAAATACGTTGAGGATGTTGAAGTGCATAAATGTACATGCAATATATAACAATCCTTAGAAAAGTAATGAATTTTAGTGCTGTATTTATATTTAAATGAAGGGATTTGAGTGATTTTACCACTAAAATGTTACGATATGGTGATTGTGATTTGCCTTTTGGTATCCCTCTGAAGTTTTGCTGTAACGGGTGATCGAGGTGTTGTTTTTGTGTGTACGTTGCTCCCAGCAAGAAAGCATCGAGGAAGTCGCTCTTGTTAACTCACAAGAACGCCTGCTCCTCGATTTTCTCAACGCCTCTCGCTCGCCGTCCGCGCATCGGCGGTGGCGGTCTCGGGGGCGCGGGAGGACGGGGGAGGAGCAAGGAGATCGCCGCCAACGGCGGGACTCCGAACGGTCGTTGACCTCGCAGCCTTGGGGTGCCGCTGCCGCACCGTCCGCCGCCGCCGCCGCCGCCTCCCGTCGTCGCCGGGCGTTGGAATGTTCCCACACGCGGCAGCCGGCGGAAAAACTGGGCTCCGCCCGCCGCCTCCACCACCGTCTTCGTCGCGCGCGACGTCTGACGACGCCGACGGATTTCCATAACGGGCGTTACGCCACCGTCGCGCTGCGTTACGCAATCCGCGTGTGCGCGCGCACCCCCCGGGCGCCCGCTGGCAGCTCGCGTGCGTCGAGCACGGCCGCGCGGGCGCAGCCTCGCTTGGCTCTCCTCCTTGCGTTCTGCGCCGCCCGTTATTTACTCCACAGTTTATTTCTTGTCAGCCGAGCCCAACCTTTTCTCAAAGCAGATGTGCTTAGTGAGCATATTTTTTTTATTGTTGACGTATGATGCCTCTTATTTTCAGGTGAGAGACACGTTGGCATCCATGGCAATCCCTTGTTGAAATGGGGCAATATTTTAAAAGTGAATATGCGGAGACCTCATGGTTCACACAAAAACATGTTTTGACGTATTCAGGATGCGGTGAAAGGCGAGCACCGAAACTCAGATTTAGGGCTGTTCAGTACAATTTTGTACGCTGTAGCGTTTCATTATTTAAGTTTCTTTATCAGGCGACTGCAGCATTTCAGTGTAGGTTTCGATGGCGGCATTGGTCACAATCATAGAAGAGACAGTAATCCTCTAAAGATTGATGGGAATGGATTTGCTTATGTAGATGTATGGTTAATTCAATTGAATAATTTAAACAAATCATATTCAAACAAATTCGATTACTTGTTACTCTCGGCAGTCATAGTAGTAACGTAAGTATACATACGGCCATGTAAAAAATGAAGCACATTAAAACCTTTTCTTTGGCATACTTTATATTGAGTAATTTACACATCAACTTCCTATTTACACGTATCTCCTTCAGATTACGTATCTTTTTCAGGGACTTCACTATAAACCGATTTTTGTTGCATGTTACCTCTTAATCTCTGCGCTCATTGAGTGAATCATTTAGATAATGATTCTGATGCTGTGGTAATTAACATGTTCACCGTAATACACTTCGCCAATACCATAGCATTATTTTTTCAAACAAGATAGTGCATGACATCCCTCTTGCTTGCTTTCCTGCAAGTTGTGAATGTTTATTACCTCAGCAATTATTCACACTCTTTAGATGGTCGCATAAGTTTGCTAGAGATTTTAATAATCTGTCATGTGACGAAAATGACTATTTTCCTTTTCTATGATACATTTAAACTGCAGACTTGTCTAAAGAATCTAAACATCATGCGAAATGTTCACACATTGTTAATGCTCGTGTGTGGTGCCGTCACTATATCACGATGACCAGATATTCCGTACGGTGGATACTTTTTTTTTCAATAAATGTGTTCTTCAAGACTTGAAAATTTGTTCTATTTTATGTGATAACGTTTTATCATTTTTATACATGAAATTGTTTTTCTATTTTTCTGTAATTTATATCTCTAAAATGAGAAAAACATATCAACAACGGAACCAGAGATATGTAACTTTTGAATATATTAAGAGACTTCCATGCATCATTGAAGATTGAGTTCTCAACCTTGTGTCATTTCAGCAGCGTTTACTTCGAACTCCAAAGAGAACAGGCGAGCAACAAGAATCAGCAAAATGGCATCTGTTAAAATAACCTGGGGCCGTTTCGAAACCCGCGAAGGACAGATAGCATCGACGAGGGGCATGAACGAGCCCTCTGTTCCCTCATCCCCAAATTCTCTCACCCTCCCTTGGAAACGCTGGGGCTCGTGGCGCGTGCAAGTGATAGCATCTTTTTAGAAGCGGTGGTTGGGGCGGGAGCCAAGCAGCGGGCGTTCAGGCATTGACGAGGAACCGCTAGCTAACTGACGAGGGCAGGCGTTTGGACAGGGTGAACTTTCGCACGTGAAACGGAAAAGATTAATGCATTGTTCGTTTTGGGAACGGCGATGGTGACACCAATAGAGCGACATTGTACAATTTAACTGTATTTCAGTTCCTAGAAAGCCCAGGAGAAAAAAATAATGACAAGGACAGCTTTATCAATTATATCTTTAAGAATACAGAGATATAATATCTATGAAGATGTAACAAAAATATAGTATTTATTAGGCAGAGAAAATTCAACATTTTAAATTATGTAACTGAAGCCACATGATTATATAAATTAGTAGTTCTGGTTTATAGAGCAAACTTTCCTAAAATTTCACATTAGAAAAGTTTCACCATAATTTGTTTAATTCTGTTCTTCCTTATTTAAACAATATTATGAAGCTAAATCATAAGTTAACGGAAACCAGTCATAAGTAGCACCAAATTTAAACTTACGTATAACTTAAATCTTTCCCATATCGAATGTTCGATAAAAAAATAATTTGTTGTTCAAAAACTGTGCATTTTCTCTGCTCTTTATTGAACAGTCTCTTTTCTATAATAATTTACACTTTTTGCACGCAATTATAATCTTGTTAGCTTAGCATGTACTTAAGTAGAATTCAATGCGTGCGTGAATAAATCAGAGACTTCAACTAGCGAGTAGAAGAGGAACTCGCCGGGGTTCCGTCGCTTCCGAGCAGTTTGGGTTACAGCCTGCTATTACCTGATCTCTTCGCCCGTCCCCTGCAATTTCATAACTCATAATAACAAAGAATCCAACGTCTGCGGCTGCGAAACAGTTAGTCATCCCGCTACCCTCTATTCTGGAAGTGTCCATTCGTAAGTTGATCAGATGGTTGCTACAACGTCAGGGCATGGTCTCGCTACGGCGTGTAACTCATTCGAACTCTCACTTATATGATTTTTCTGGGCATGGCCGCCCTTTTCAAGTTAATTGTTTGGAAATATGTATGATTTAATCCAAAATAAAAATATTACTAGTCCAGTTGGATAATAAATATTTTACCTGGTGCTATTAATATTTGAATGCAAAAAAGAGATTGTACTCGTAGCAGTGCTTCAAAATTAAATTTGACCCATCGTATATGTTTCACGACTCATATATGTATACAGAAGATTTTTTTAAAATTTTAATTCAAGCTCCAACTCGGGACACCAACATGAGATGTTGCATATGGAAATCTTAGTTCGTTCGCAAAGGGATCTTTCTGTTGTGTTCTAATTTGCGTTTTGCAACTTTTCCGTCTTTTTTATGATTTAATATTTTGTTTAGGAGTAAAATTGTCATTGCGTTAATTTGCGCTATACTCAAATGGATTTTTCAATGTCATGACTGTTGTAAATTTGTCTCTTCGAACCTAAAAGATCTTGAATATATGGTTATATATGGTTTTCAGTTTTTGTTAATAAATAATGACTATAATATGACTTTTATATAATCCCTTTTTGAAAAGTCGAATGACTTCCTCAGAGCCAATTTAATATTCCTTTGAAATTGTTAAAGCACTTTAAAAAAATAATGAATAGTAATTACAAGTAATGACTGATCATTATTTTTAAAACTGCAATAATGTGGATTATTGCAGGTTTCAAATAACATTCTTTTTATTTGACGTAACTTGCTTCAAGTTATGTCATCCGTATATATTCCGTCCCCCATAAGCTAAAGACATATTTGTGCTACTTCTCTTTATTTATCTTGCTTACTTTCTTGTAACATTCAATGTCAAAAAATTAATAAAAGTCATCATAGAGTACCCAGTGAGTATGTCTCGTTCAAAAATAGGGGGTTGATAGTGAGCTAATTTATAGTTACTTGTAACTTCGAGGTACTATTGATTTTAATCAAAGCAAATACTCACCTGTAAAGTGGTAATTCGACTGATCTGGTAAATTTTTTTTTTAAGTTATGTCATCAATATAATACATTACTATGACTCAAGAATACAAATAGTGAATATTGATGATCTAGATTCTTGAATTGGCCATGGACAATTCAAGAATCGAGATCATCAATATTCACAATTCTATTGGTACTTGAAAAACCTTGCATATAATGTTCAGGTCTCTTCACATCGCCGTTAATATTGAAAAAATCGGAAGAAAATTTTTTTATAACATTCATCAAATTATATTGAAGGTTAATTAGTCAAATACTTGTAGTTTTACTCAGAATGCCATTAGTAAAGTACTTGCAGCATTCCTACAGTTACATCATTTTCCAATGCCAATCGAATAAGTTTATATTATTCTCAATATATCGGTGTTTAACTGTTATGATGTTTTTACTGTATGTTTTTTTAATACTGTGAATAAATGACCGTGAAATAAATTATCTGTAGGCGAATCAATCTGTATTGTGACTATTTCCAGGTAATTCAACTGGGGCGACGACGGCGTTGAAGCGATGCACTGGAGCCGTGACGAGACCCCGATGCCGTTAGTCAGGTACGGTCATCGCCGCCTCCTTTATCTCCGTTGTAGAACCTCGATAAATGGAAAACCTTTATGAATTTTAGTTTTCTATTTTCTTTTGAATTTATACATTGTTTTCTTGACATTTCAAGTGAAATAAAGAGAGAAGAGAATCTCTTAAAACTGTGTACAAAATATAGTACTCCATGATTCAAGTGTTAGCAGAGAGGGATTCTGTAGATCAATATTAAGGCATCAAAACAATCATAAATTAAAATGTCTCTATGGTCTCTCTATAAATGAAATAATAAATATTATTCTGTGTGTAGCCGCATTCTAGTCCTCTGTCTCCCTGTTCTTCTGCTTCAAAAATAATGCTGCATCAGTTGAACTTAACCTGCAAATATGATTTTATG